TTGCCTGGAACCTGAAAGTTCTGGGTGCTTTGAAATCTAACCCTCAGCCAGCTGCTTGCTATCATTTTTAATGACTGATTTTATTTTATGCCTGTATTCACGTGTGCTCCACATGCATGCAGTATCCAAAGTGGTCAGTAGATGGCGTCCAAATCCCCGGATGCTGGAGTTACAGATGGTTGTGAACCACCAAGTGCTATGGGAACCCAATCCACATCCTCTGCAAGAGCAGCCAGTGCTCTTAACGGCTGAGACATCTCTCTAGTACCCTCTCCACCCTGGTCTTAAACCTCTTTTGCCCGGGATGAAGTAGGTAAAACTGTAAAACTGTGTTAGTCGAAAACGCTTGAGACACTTGCCTTAAAAAAAAAACCCTCAGTACATTTATGTCTTGGATGGCAACAAGGTGGCTGTTTCTCCTGCCGCGGTGCAACCTTCGCATTAATATTACAGCTGTTGTGGTTGAGCTGGGGAAAGGAAGGAAGTGGACCACAGGAATGGGGAAGACGGAAGGTTTGGGGGAACACGCATTTGACACTATTTATTGATGAAATAACTTCTTGTACATTGTCAAGGGAGAATCTTTGCATGTGGGTGTTCAGAAAAGATAACCATTTCTTCACAGGTCATTTCTCCACTGCCCTTCCACAACCTTAGGGTAAGAACAGTGTGTCTGGGGTTAGGTGAGCTTTCCTGGGACATCCACTTTTACTTGCAGATGATTATTATAGTAAAATAAACATGAGTCATATGGCTCATTTGTGCTAAAACTGAAAAGAGCCCTTTGATAATAAACATGAAAATTCCTACATATGACGAGCAGTTTCAGCTCTCAGCACCCATCTCCTGAGGCTAGCCATTATTTTTCCCCTCTGTAGACAGAAAATGTTAAGGGCCATTTATCTACTACCCTTTGGAGATTAGGAAATTATGCCACAAAGATGTAGAGTTGCCATGGAAACCCAGATTTATAAATGCCAATGCCATCCATCCATCCAAATGGGTTCTGTCTTCACGGTCCCAAGGTGATGAGGATAGCTCCAGTCTTATGGCTCATTTGTGCTGAATCTGAAAGGCAGGCATCTATTTTCCACAGATAATGAGAAGAATTTAACATGTCTCGTTAGGCCTAGGTCATGTGCTTATTACAAAACTGACTTGAGAGTGCGGCTTATACTCAAATGCTTTCTGTACTGGAGTCTATTCAAGCACAGGGCCAGAAAAGCAGGAACACAATGATTGCTCTCTTGGAAGAACAATAGGCAATAACCATGGGAGACAGTGTGACTTGTCATAGCAATGTTATTACCATTTTTTTTAATTTTAAACCTTGATTTTTGAGACAGGGCATTAAGTAGTTCAGGCTTGTCTCAAACTTGCCTGTAGAGGATAACCTTTGACTTCTGGCCCTCTAACCCCCCCCACCGGAGTGTCAAGATTACACCTGTATGCCACCAAGCTTAATTTGAATACTACTAGTTTTATGAGTTGAAAATCACAGCACCATGTCAAAGCGGGAGGTTGGTAGTCTTTGAGCCTGCAGAATGGGCTTCACATTGGAGTTTACTTAGGTTTTAGAGAAAAGAAGCATACTGTCAGACCTTCTCTTCTGCCGGAAGCTTCTCACACACATTCTTGTGACCTCTCCCTATAATCCAGAGAGATCCCTGTGGTCCCTGGGGAGGTCGCAGTGAACTGTGACAATTCTAAGTGCCGCTGTTATCCTCCTGAAAGGAACTGGAGGTTTTCTGTGCCTCACATGATTTCCTAACTTGCCCCAGTTTCTACGATGTTTTATGGATCATGGTTGAATTCCATTTGGAGTATATAAAACCTTTAACGCAACTAACAAGTGGGCCCCTGGGAGAGGCATGAACTTTGCTCTAGCACACAGCTCATCTCCCTCTGCTGACTTCCAGCAACTCCTACAAGTGTTCCCACAGTCTGCACACTTGACTTGCCCTCCCCCCTACACCTCATAGCCTCTAGATAATGTTGGAGCTATTCCCAGGAGGGTGTAGTCTCTCCACCAGCAGGATCCTTCTTTGCTCCATATTCATCTTGATGGGGAGCCTCTCCCCGATGTGCGTTGCACTCTGTTCTCTCCTTGACAACTTGCCATTGCCCTCTTTCTGTTCTACCCAGGGTACACGCTACTGTCCTAGAGGGAGGTTGGTGTTCCCATCTCTGCTCTGTAATCCTGATTTCTGGCTGATGCCGGTCGCGGTGTACGGTATTCTGGGAGGTTCTTCACCACTGGTAAGAACGGTGCTTGCCTCTTGGGGTACCTCACATTGCCTGCTGCACCAAAACTGCAGGACACAGCTCTGATATGAAGTCCACCAGGCCTGGAAGTCCATCCCGAGCTGCTTCCAACTGCCTATGTGGGCAGACACTTAACCGCTCTCAGAAGCTGAGCCTCATGTTTCAGAAGAAAGGCTCTGGCCAGAGTTGAAGCTTTTTATTCCCCGCCACCATACTACTTGGTTCCCATCCTTGTGTGGACTTGGCAGTTTGGTAACTCACACGTCTCTCCTTTGCAAAACGTGGCTGACCATATTTCCCTGTACCCTGATGGCCAGTGATGCCTTGGTCGTATTTTTAGGATGGTGAAAGTGGTTTATTTTACCCAGATCTAGCTGTGTCTGGGAGTTACGTCAGTCCAAGCCCATGCTTTTGCTGCAGCTGCTGGATCATGTGTCTTTTCTCAAGGGACCATGGATGACTTAGCTGCTGGTGAACTTTCTTCCTGTCTTACATTCAGGCCATATGCAGAATGTAGTATTGTATCTAAATTAAAAAGGAAATATTCTGAAGGAATTTCCCAGTATAGATAAAGGAGCTAAAGATAGCAGAAGAAATTGAATCCAGCCATTTTAGTTTTCTGATAAATGAACTTAGCAAGCACAGGACATCCGCAGCTACTTTAAAAACGACAGGGCAAACATTCAATTTTGTTTTGGCAGTGAACACAGTTGCTTGTTCACAGAAGATGTGTTTTCTTCTGAAGATAGTATAATATTTTATATTCTAATCTTAGAAGAAGGAAAGGACATAGTTCGTTTACAGTCACAACTCTAAACAATGGTACTTTAAGGGAAATGAAGATAACTAACCACAAACTTGAATACTGAAGTCCTTTCTGGTAACACAAAGCCAATTTTGTGGATTAGCTGAAAGATAAGTAACCAGACAGTTTGTGTTTATAGACTCTGACCTTAAACATAGAACTGATGTCTGCAGCGACAGCAGAAGACTATGATGGAGGGACTCTCACTCTTACCTTTGAAGGCTGAAGAAGCTGATGGAGGGTTGCTTAATTCTGTAATGTACAGCTTTAAAAATAGCAAAAAGCAGCTTAAAATATCTCAGGAGCTTCAAAAATGGCTCAGTGGTTAAGAATGATGTGTGCTCTTGCAGAGGGTCTGGGTTCTATTCCCAGCATCCACAACCACTTGTAACTTCAGCTCCAAGGGCACTGGCTGCAAGGCTTCAAGAGCACTTCTTAGCTATACACGTGCATGGACACACACACACACACACACACACACACACACACACACACACACACACACTGAAAAAGAAAATAAAATCTCTTTAAGAAAGAGAAAAACAGGACATAAGTAGAGTTTGTAGAGAAGACTTTGTTGCACTTTCAAGTTAAAACTGTGTTTTCTTTTTACACACAAATGCTCCAGGTCCAACTTTGGTTATGTACTTATAAGGAAAACATAAGTCAGACCCTGAGAAATGTGCTTTGAACTCCAACGCTGAGCAATAATTATGCCCACCTAGTAACATTTGACTGGATTTCCAGAACATTCGGGGGAAGAAATAACTCATGTTCCTGGGCGTCTCAAGTTCTAATTGTTATTCCGTAAGAAAATATTCCCCTCCAGTAGAGGCATTTTATCTTAAAAAAGAAAAAAAAAAACCAAAAAGAGAAGCAGCAGCAGGCAGGGTCACATCTGCGGTGGGCGATGGAGAGTCAGCCTGTGAATATGCTCCAGCTGTGAGCTCTGCCAGCAGTGGCTTGGGTGGAGAGGGAGGAGGACTGAGGCTTGCGGAAGCTGTGGGAAGAGAAGTGCAGAGAGAGGCAAGAAAGACTTCCACAAAATTGGAGAGGGCAATGGCATGGATTGGAAAGCGCAGGGAGACATGTCTCTGTGCGCGATTTCTTCCAACACGCCTGCCTTCCTGTGGCCACAGGATCTTGGAGGCATGCCCCTCATTTTAAGAAAAAGCCTGATTCAAGAGAATCTCTAGATGAGCCTCGATATCCCCAGCCACGGCTCTTCATGTCCTGTTCTGTCCTGTCCTGTCCTGTCCTGTCCTGTCCTGTCCTGTCCCTGTGTGTAGGTGTGGCAGAGGGCAAGCCAGAATCCAGCCAAGTGGCATAGGTGCAGGCAGGTGTGCGGCTGGCACTACTTCCCTCAAGACTGGGTCAGCACACTGTTAACTCAAGCTGACACAGGAAGATGTACAGTTTGACAGAAAGTGAAAGGTTTTGTCCACATTGTTACACCTTGGAAAAGTGTGATTTTTTTTTATCTTGTAGAACAAACACCCTTGTGGTGAATTTTCTTCTTTCATTTCTCTTGCTTTTCTAGGTTAGCTTCCAGTGCACACAGGGACTCCTTGACCCACACTTTAATCATTTATTAGAACTGGTCTTCTGGATGTGACAATTCACATCCAAGTACTGCAAGCAATTAGTGATCGTGGATTGCACCAGCAAGCAAACGAGCAAACCGAGCCCTATCCCACTTACTTCACCTGCCTGTTAGTCAGGCCTACAATAGAAACGAGCTCGTCAAGGGTTAGGTTATTTTCAGCTGTTGATAACTGCATCGTAAATCTGACCAGAGACCCAGAAAGTCTGAGATATTGGCACATTATAAACATAAGAAAATTTTAGCAAAATGCATTTAACAGTCTCAACATTGAATAACCAGGGGAGAAATCCCTCTCTCATTGAGGGCTCTCACCTTCCTCCCCTAGTTTCGACAGTCATCAACTGAACACAGAAGCTACGATCTACCTCAGCTCTCCCCGTGACCTTTGCTCAAGTCTCTGCTGATAGCCAGGTGACTCTAAGGGTCGGGTTTATCTCTGACTTGTTTCTTACCAAGAACTGTGTACTGGGTCTCTATTTATCTCATCTGTATTTGTCTCTTGGTATCATCAGTTTTGACGGATGTGGCTAGGTTAGGGATGATATGTCTTTGCGGTTGGTGATGGAGGTATGGCTGTGAGCTCTCAGCTCAGGTCATATCTCCTTTGTGTATCAAAGTACACAGGTCATTGGTGCACTTAATACACAAATGGGAGGGAAGGGAAATGGAAGGGAGGAAGAGAGGAAGAGAGAGGAAGATTGATTTTTATACCAAGAGTCAATAATTTTGTATGTGGCCCACCCTTTAAACATTACTAAATAAATGTTTTAGATACAGACTGGTGAATTCTTCAGTAACTTTACAAGAATGGAGCCATGAGGGATGATCTATAGCCCAGTTTGGCTTCTGTTGCTGTGATAAAACACTAACCAAAAACAATTTGGGAGAAGAAAGGGTTTATTTCATCTTAGAGGTTACAGCCCATGGTCATAGATTTAAGCTGCAGTTGTCAACGTGACACGCCTGGAAAGAGGGTGCCTCAAACAAGAAATTGTTTCCATCAGATTGACTTAAAGACTGCGAGGCATCTTATTAATTGCCAGTTGATGTGGGAGGATCAGACCACTGTGGGCAATGCTACTCTTGAGCAGGTGACCTGGGTCGTATAAGAAAGCAAACCAAGGAAGCCAATAACCAGTGTTCGTGTAGGCCACTGCATTAGTTCCTCCCTGACTTTCCTCACCAATGGACTGTGGTGATATCAGAGAGGAAGCCAAATGAACTCTTTCCTTCCTCATGTTACCTTGGGTCACAATGTTTACCATAGCAGTGGAAAGCAAACCAGAATATCTATCAAGGGAGGATGTCAAGGCAGGGACTCAAGGCGGGAGCTTGAAGTAGGAACCGTGGAGGAATGCTGCTTACATGCTTGTTTCCAAGATCAGCTGGCCATGGAAGTGTCAACACCTCTCCTTTCTACTCCAAACCAAGAGGCCAGGCAATGCTGGTTAATGTTTTATGACCATGCCTATACAGCCAATCACAGTTGGGTCAAGGTCTGCTTCCTAGAAGTCAAGGTTACTGGTATGTGTCACTCTTGAATCTCCATCCACCATGGTTACATGAAGGCAACCCAATGTGAAAATAACATCGTACAGGGATGCCTGTTCTAACTTATCTGACAGGGTCATTTGTTTGCAAGGTTAGGCTTCTAACTGTCATCAGGCATCTGCTACATATGACACATTCTTCAACTTTATCTCACTTCATGTTGTCACACTGAGGCTAAGTTGTTGCTTTCCCACGTGTCCCTGCATTCTCTTATTTCAAGGCAAGGGTTACACCGTCACACTGGCCCTCCTGTTTCATTTATTGAAATCAGCCCCTGGAGTCTTAGGATGTAATCTTAAATGGAAGTGGGATTACCTCAGAAGTAATATATTAAGGTAGAGTTAGTTATACTTGAGAAGGGTTATCCATTTATATGCTATGACTGGATAAGTTCAAGAAATATGGAGACAGGCTCACAGTAAGAATTTTGTGGAATGGTTGGAGCTGTGTGGCCAGAAATCAAAGGCTTCTAGAAGGACAGGCGAAACATAGAAATCCTTCCCTGGTACCTTCAGATGACCATGGTCCTACAGACCATTTTATACCTGTGGCCTCTCATAATCATTAGGTAATAATTTATAGTTTTAAGGTTTTCAGAACTCTGCTATGGTATTCCTGGTTAAATAATACTACCTTTCCATTCTCCAAAGTTCAATGACTGTCACAGATTTCCTGTTTTCTAAGAAAACATTGCTCAAATGTTGTGATTTAATACCACCTTAAAATAAGCCCAGTATTAGAAACAAGCTCTAGGATCACATTTTTCTTTCTGCAGAACAGGACAAACTACTTGTTAGTAATTCTCTAGTCATGTTCTTTGTTACCCACAGCAACAAAAACTTTGTGTGTCCCACCGTTTGGTGCATTCTGTTTTGTTTTCCACCAGAGGGGTTTTTGCCATTGTTTTGCTTTGAGAGTTTCTGTGTGCATGTTTTATCTGCTGTGTGCTATGTGCTTACACTTATTTTTCCCATTGCTGTCTCAAAGCCACTAAACTATACAATGTAAAACACTTAGCCATTTATGTGTCAGCACTACAGACTTTTTTTCTGTGAAGAAGGGGCCGTTCAGACAAAGTGTGTACTGAACTTAGCCTGCTTTATAGCTAAAACACCGACTTCAAGGTCTAGCATTTTCTTCAGCTGCACGTCTTTGTTTGTGTTTCTGTGCTCTCTTCACAGTGGGATTGACTTCCCTCTTTTCATGGAGATACTGCTTAAGGTTGACAGGCTTGGGAGGGTATGTGTGAGGAAAGGCATTATGTTCCCAGGCAAGGTCTGTGCTACTTGGGCTTAAAATTGTAAGTTTTGGGTCCTCTTGGTCCTTTATCTTGGTCCTTTATCTTCTTTGATTGTTGTTGCTTTGCTATATGGACAAATTCCAAACTTCCAACCACATATAGTTCAGATGTTCAGGGCCTGGTAATATTTGGAGGACACACACACAAATACACAAAATCAGAAAAGCAGGTTCCAAAAAAAAAACCTCATAAAACCCTATTCCTATTTTAGTCTTGATAGACATCAGAAAATAAAAAATAATTCACAATTACTAAATTATAGCCATTAAATATTCAAAATTTTCACTAGTTGTAAATTATTTTAGAGTTCACTATGTTTTTCTCAATACCAATTAATATTTGCATTTTACTTTTTGAAACTCTACTTCCTTCCATATTAGAACAGCCCTGCCTAGTTGTTTTTTTCTGACATTGACTTCTTGATGAGCTTGTATGATTTTTTTTTTTCAGAATTCTTCGAAATCTTGGTTTATGTGCTTGCTGCCTTTGAATCAAAGTTCATTTGGGGGCAAGATTTCCAGCCGATCTTATGCAACTTTTATTTGTGTCACATGACAACCAGATGTCCAGCTATCATTTAGTCAAGCTGTTAAATCCTGTACCTTTTAAAAATCTATTCGACTTTTAGAATTCATCAATAATTGATGAGGCATCACACTATGTCTACGTCAAGTGTCTGCTGAAGTGTTAGTCTAATCAATCTTAATCAATAGAAACCAGGAGTCAGTAAGATATAGGGGTGGAAACCTGAAAGATCAGGGAACCGGGAGAAACCACCAGTTGCTTCCTTCCTCTCTTGTTCCTCACTCTGAAAGGACTGAGATCCTGTCTACACCCCACCTTATCACTTCCTGTCTCCACCTCCTGAGTGCTGGGATTACAGGTGTGAGCCTGGACTGCCAGCCAGGTTTTTGAGGTTAACTAGTGGCGAACTTTGCCCTGTGATCTCCAGGCAAGCTTTATTTGTCAGATCATGTCAGGGCCCATAAAGATGGCTCAACTCCATCTTGACTAAAGGCCAGAGAGTTCAAAACCATCCTTAGTAAGTCACAAGACCTAAAGGTCAAAGTCTTGGCTACAGTAGGATATTTGATCTTGGTCTTTGGTGTCTTATCTAAATAACAACACACTTGGTCTGAGGTGTGGTTACTCTTGACCTGTAAGGCCAGATATTGAGAAATTAAATACAAGATGTGGTTACCAATTCCTTAGAGAGTTGAGGAAGAAAAGTCTGTTCCCGATCTATGATAGCATGTTCCTTCTTTTTGGTTAAGGTATTTAAAAATGTTGAAGAATAAACTTGGTGAGTTCAGTATTGGCTGAATTGCCCTCCTGATTTTATTCTGTGACTCCATCTTTTCCTTTAACGTCTTTTAGCTAGCCTTTTCTTTACCCACACTCTCCCTTTCAGATACAAACTGTGGGCAAGTCAGCTGGCTCTGAAAAGACAGCTTCCCACAAGAACACAACAAAATATCGTGCAACAGTCTGCTTCCAATGGCATCTACTCAATGACTTTATGCCTTCCGTGAACCAGGTAAGACATTGGGGGTTGTATAATTCCACTCAAGAATCCTACCTTTTTCCTGTATTTACTAACTGTTATGTTTGCCTACTGCACAGCCCTCTTCTTTATGGGAAGGAAGACTTATGGGTCCTGGAGAAATTGGGCATTTCTTGTTCTGTGTGTGTAGGAGTGAACCCCACAAAGCTATCCGCCCAACAGGGCGTGGTCAAGGTAGAGATAAAAGGAAGTGAAAGGAAAAGGGGCTTCCCTTTTTTCTGCTGGAAGCCAGCCATGCTTCTGCCTCCTGGTCGGTGCGACTCTCTCTCTCTCTCTCTCTGATAAATAAATATATTGTTTTCCCTATATAGCCTCAATATGTGTGAACAGCACTGTTGTAGTTTCTTAGTAGTTAGTAAGGATTACACTGGATCTGTAGATTTCTTTGTGTAGTATAGACACTAGAATATCACTTGTTCCAGTTTAAGAAAGTGGGTTTTTCCTCCATTTTTGTGTGTCTTACATTAATCCCAACATCGAGAATAAGACCACTACCACAATTTGAGCCAAATTTGAAGCCAGCTTGATTTTTTATTGGGGTACACCCAAGAGCTGGCCAGCAACTGCCTCCTAAGTCAGGTTAAAGAGAGCAGCTTCAAATCTATCTCTTGGACCCCCTTTAGGGAGTAAAATCATGAATAGTTTTGCAGAAGGGAAACAATGTGGCAATAAGAAAATAAAAAATGTCTTTTAAAAAAATCGCATAGTAACCATGTGATTAGGGAGGGGTCAGGGAGGATAAGGATATTCTCAAAAACAAATCAAGGTCATGGGTTGGGGAAGGTCAGGTTCCAGGAAACAGAGCAACTCAAGTAATAAGTAAGTAGAACCTTATTTTTAAAAATACAGTATAATGGCTCTTACCTTGAAAATGGAGTCAGGCAGGTTCCTCATTTATTCACTTCCTTTCATAAATATTTATATAGCTTGCATCGTTAGAAGTCATTTGTCCCCAATTAAATTTATCAATGCTTCATTTGTTGTAGCTACTGTAAATGAAATGGCTTTCTTGATTTCCACTTCAGAAAACTTGCTATTGCTGTGTAGTAACAATGCTACTGATTTTTATACAGTGAGTTGTTATCTACAACTACAGTGAATATATTTATTTTAATAGTTGTTTTTAGTGTAGTTTCCTCCCTGTGTTGTACCCAGACTCACCAAGAGACTAGATCAGATACAAAAGCAAAGAGCCTTTTTAATTTAAGAGTCAACTGGGGTCCTCTGTCTGTCTAACAGTGGGAGGAGTGAGTAGGAGGGACCCGAGCAGCAATGGGGCAGGGTGTATGTTGGGGTAGAGCAAGGGAAGTGTCTGGGGTTCTGCTAGTTGCATAGCAACAATGTCAGGATTGGTGCACCTCCAGATTGGAGCCATCCCAGGGCAGTTGCTATGCCCTGCCCTCTGCTATTGTCAGTAAAACATATCCAGAGCCCGCCAGCTAACTTCTGATATTGTTTCCTTGCCACATGGAGGGGATCTGGCAGTTGCTTCCTAGTAGTTAGGGCAAGGTGGGGTAAGGTTTGGGACTCAGCACATGCTGCTGAGTCAGGGGCCTATGTCTTGCTGGGTCTTTTCTTCAGTCTGTCATGGCTGCCTAAGCAGGGGGCTGGGTGAGTATCTGGGCCTTTCGCTTGTGTTTACTCATTTGACCTTGGATATCCTTATTTGACTTTGGATATCTCTCTTCGCCTGATTTTTCTGGTTAGGATTTAATGTGTTGGATAAAGGATAAAGGTGCTAAAAATGGGCAGAGTCTTGCTCCAGATCTAAGAAAAAGTTAACATTAGCTTTGGGCTTTCCATGTGTGGATTTTATTGTATTGAGGAAATTTTCTCTTATCTCTATATAGTTTAACTTAAAAACTATGAATATTTAAAATTTTTGGCTGCCATTTGCTTTGGCCCTTCATCCTGTTAATGGAGTTCGTTACGTTTATTGGTTAATTTTCGCATACAGTTCACGAATCCCTCTTGACCGTGGCGTAACTAGGAGTTAGGCTCACTAGCTTTATGTATTTGTTTCTTTCCCAATGCCACACACGTATACAATGCCCCCTGATCACAGCCACGCCTCCACTTTCTCTCGTCTTCTCTCCCCACTGCCCGCCTCCTTACTACCAAGTCCCCCACCCACTCTCTTGTCTTTCTGTTTTGCTTCTGTGACCCACCATGTTTAGTGTGGTGGTACAAAATCTGTACCCCAAGGAGCCAAGTCCAGCCATGCGGCCTGGAGAAACCAATTACAATAGCCAAATTAACAGTAAGAAGCAGGAAAAGGAAATGTATTCAGTGCGGCCACTTTGGGAAGAGGGACAATGCTATGCAGTGATCCTCTCGAGTGCATCTTTGAGGTCCTGAAGCGAGATTACAGTTTAGATAGAGGGTTGTGGGGTACACACAGTTCAGGAGAAGGTGTGGTCTGCCCACCATTGACTGACCCCCCCCCCCCCATTGTAGGAGGAAAACAGAACTCCACCATTAGCCATGGGACTTATTAGAGGCGCATACAGATGAGGTAATAAAAGGGCAGTTTACCACACCACTAACCACACCCACTTTAGGCATGACTAAAGGCGTATACGGACGGACATAAAGACGTACACTGACGTAGGTGGTGAACTACGTCACTAGCCAGGCCCACTTTTGGCATGGCTAGGGGGGCGTTACGGAGGAAGGTATAAAAGACTGAACAACGGAAATCTAGCTCTCTTTTCCAGCTTTCCGGTTTCCAGTTCAGCGGCGGAAAACTACACGGCTCATCTGCGTAACTTGTCTGTCTCTTGTGAGTAATTTCTACAATAAATACTTATTTTTACTTTCAGTAAGTGTGCCGTTTATCGTTGCTGCAGCACCCCATTATTTGAGCCATGGTCTCATCCTGTCTGCTGACTTGGAAACCTCTTTTCTAGAACATTTCTTGCGGGAAATTACTACTTCTTTGGAGTCCATTGTTTCTATAGTCTGATATTCAGATTGAGAGACACAAGGCCTGTTAGAAGGGCCATTCCGGGGTCCACTAGTATTTTGTTAAGGATTTTTTTGTATCTGTAGTCTTCTCCTCTTCCCCCTTCTCTCCTTCCTTGACTCCCTCATTCCTCTCTCTTTCCTGATGCTGTTTAGCTTTGGTGTCTGGATGGCATTGGCCTTCTCATGTGTGTTTGAAAAGATTCAGTCTTCTTTCATTATTCTGGAAAGTTTAAGACATACTGGTGTTTGTGTGGCTCAGGAAGGAAGTTCTCTGGCCCTGGGCTTTGTTTAATGGGAAACTTCATCATCAGTTCAGTCTCAGTCTGTGTTTGTTACTGGTTTGCTCAGATTTTCTGTTGCTTCTTTCTTCAGCTTCAGCAAGGTACAGGTGTCTGGGATTTGATGACTATCTCCAGGGTGAATCATGTTTGATAATGGTTTATAGTCCTTTGTATTTGTCTCTTGTTTACTTTAAAGGGACTTTATTGTGTTGATTTGGGGAGGGTATCTATTTTTTAGTCTCTGCTTTGTTTATTTCTTCTATTATAAAAATTGTGGTTTTTGCCCCTCCCGTTTTCTAGTTTTACGGCATGGAGGCAGGTGTTTCAGTGCACTTCGCTTTTTTGAGCAAGCACTGATTGCCAACAGCTTCCTCTTGGTGATGCATCCACTGTGTATGTGTTGACGGGTTTATTCCAAGAAATATTTTAGTGGCTTTCTCAATGTCTTCCTTGACTCCAGCTGTGCATTTTCCGTGTCTCTGTGTAGATTTCAGAGCTGTTTTTTCTTATTGATTTCTAGCTTTCTTGCATTGTGGTTGGAAAAGATACTTGATTTGATTGTAGTTTTTGGAAAAATTGTCGAGGCTTGTTTTGTGGTCTGTCATATGATCTACCCTGGGGAATTTTCCTTGTGCTGATGGATAATGTTCTTAGATGTTGTCTGGCTAGATGTTTCACTGATGATGTATTCATCACTGAGAGTGTGAAAGTTATTCTGTTACTATCTATTAATCTCTGGATTGCACATCTGGGTTCTTGAAGATTTAAGACATTTCCTAGGTAATATAACTAGGTAATTATGACTAGGTAAGGTCTTTCCACATCAACTTGTACTTTCTCGTTTTATTGTAGCTTCTTTATTTCTTCCTCTGTGGTTAAGTGATTGATTTACTCTAGCAATGTGTCGTGAGACCTTGTTTTTTAATTTTTATTTCTCCTATTATGGTTTTCAGTTTTGTGTTTCTATAAGGCTACAACAAGTATCCTTTTCTTGTAAGATATTTTGAAATGACATTATGGTAATTTTAAGAAAAGAAAAGGAAAACATCCTAATAACAAATCTCCCCGCCAACATTGACTCTAGCACTATTTCATCCCTACAGTTTTAAATTTTAATGCCTCATTTTTCATCTTTCTCTATCACCTTATATCCTGTCATATGGATGCAGTTCTTACTTAATTGCTTTGTTTTTGTTTTTTATGCCGAAGGTATAAATTGGTTATGCATCATGCTTTCAACATTGTGGCGTTCTGAATTGGTTCATATAGTTATTTTTTCCAGTAAGTTTTGTGCCATCTAATGTTTTCCTCTAACTCATCCATAGTTCTTTCAGTAAGCATGAAGAACACCTTTGGTCTTCCTAATGGAACATATCTGGTGGAGACATAGTGTCTTCAGTCTTGTTTATCTGGGAATGTTTGTCTTTCCATCCTTTCTGAATCATGACTTTGCTTGGTAGAATGTCTCTGGTTGACAGAATCTGATGCCACTCCATAACAAAATTATGGAATTTTTATTTCATTGCTCTTGTGGCTTGTAAACCATTGCCTTACCTTTCACCCCTGAAATATTAATTTTAAGATGTCTTAGGTTAGAATTGATCGAGTTGAATTTTAATGTGACCTACAACTTCCTGTAACTGTTTGTGTCCTCTAGGTTTTAAGAAGCTATTTTTTTGTTATCTCTTTGAATATGTTTTCTACCCCTTTGTCATTCTTAACTAT